TGGGCCCTGGTTGGGGTGCCGGCACCGCGGCGGCCCCGGCCCATTCTCATTGTTCGACTCATTTTTCTTCCGCTCTTCATTGTCTGTACACGGAGAGGGGGCTGTGCAGCTCCTCGGGGTGGGGGGGGACAGGTTCGACCCCCTCCCCACCCCATGCCCATTATGGAGCCTCCTGCAGCCGCTGGGGTGGGGACCGGGGGGTCAGGGTGATGGGGGGACCCCCACATCCCACTGTGGGGAAGCGTCCCACCGGCTGCTCCTACCTCCAGTCTCGGCCGGTCCAGCACGGCCAGGGCCACCCGCGGCTCTGGGGGCACGGAGGAGGGTGTCTGTGTGGGGCTGATGGGGGGCTGCAACGTGCTTTGCTGCCATCAAAGGGGGTTGAGGGCGGGGGGGCACTCCCCACCTTCCCAGTTGGGTCCCAGTTGAGTCTCCCTTTAGGTGTTAAATGAAACAATGGTTTAAGCAGAATAGGTTTGAGGTTTGACATTTTTTGGGTTTTTCCTGGTCAGTTGTTGTCCATGGGGCTGGCGCCCTGCCCGCCCTGTGGCGGTGCCACCCCCCCCGGCCCCATCCCCGTCCCACCGGGCCCCGCGGGCGGCCGGCCAGGGCCTCGAACCCTTGGGTTTATAGCTCTTGTTTCCATTGGCGTTGCTGTGTTGGGTTTCATTTCAGTCTTCCTGATTCTGCCCTTCTGTAAAGTGTACATTATTACCAAGTTCCTTGTTTTTTTTATATATATATATATAAATATATATATATACAAACTGTACTCTTCTTGCCTTTGTACATTTGGGCAAGGAGAGAGAATAAATCTTTTTAAGAGACAATCACAAATCTGTGAGGGTGGCTTTTTCTTCCTGCTTCCCCAAATTCTGGTCTTCCGTCCCCAAAATGTGTGGCCAGTGATATTTTTTTTTTGCAGGGGGTGGAGGGGAGGTCCCCATCTCTGGGGCATCTGAGGAGGCTTAAACAGATGCTGCTCCTGGTGCCAAGCTCATCGGTCTGTGGCCACCAAAGCTGTGGGGGGGTGGCCCCATGGGGCTGCAGATCCTGCCCACCCCCCCCAGCACCCACAGCTCCCCCTGGGGATGCTGCTGCCAAGCTCAGCCAGAATTTGGGTCAGAACCACCCCCCCCAGGCTCAAAGCCCTGGACACCAGCAATGGGCAGGTGCCCCACAGCCTGCCAGGGCCCTGCCCCACACTCATCTCCGCCATCGCTCCCTTCCTGGGGGGGGCTGCTGTGCCGTGGGGCAGACTTGGCTCCTCCAGCCGGGCCCAGGAGGCAGCACCCAGAGGGAGCAGAAGCACTTGAGTTTCGAGGGTGTATTTCTGAAGACCCTCAGTGAGCCCAGGCCTCTACCTCTGCCCACACTCAGCTGAGCCAGGGCAGGAGAGAATTTGATACTTGCCAGAGAAGCCCGTGCACTGGCCCAGCCTCGTAATTGCAGTTCATTATGGTTCTTGGCTCATCCTCACTCCTGCGACCAGGACCTTACACTGCCCCAGTTAAGTTTTACCAGTAAAAGGAAGGAGCAGAGTGGTTGCCAGCCCCTCTCCTCAGGGCTGCTCTCCCAGAGGAGCACCGTGGGGTGGCAGCAGGGCCCCAGAGCAGAAACACCAGCCCAGGGAAGGAGGGGGGGCAGCTCCAGCTGCAAGAGAAGATACAACTTGGTATTTCAAGAGCCAGAACTAGAAATCAGCATTATTGCAGGGAGGGAGTAGGTGCAGGGTCTGCTCTGTCCCCGCACTGGGCCTGGGGCAGAGCCGCAGCCGGCGCCGGAGGGACAGAGACAGCCCCAGAGCACAGCCTCCCATTTTAAAGCAGACTTTGGATTTAATGCCCCACTGCCACGGGCACAGAACCACCAGCCCTGTGATTTCATTGGAGGGGAAGGAGGGAAAAAGAGACACAAACTTTAAGATGATTTATTCACACAAACTCGTATCCCAGCCCCACCTCTCTCCCCCAAACAGAAAACACTGACCGTGACGTTTATGGAATGGCTCAGCTTTTAACAAAATCCTCCAGAGGAGGGCAAGAGCACAACAAAGCACACAAGGACAAGTCCACACACAAGCAGCCAGGCCAGGCTGGAGCACAGGGCACAGCCTGGAAACACCCCCCTTCTCCTGTGGCCTCCAGCCCGGTGACAGCCCCACGGCACCACCACAGGAGCTCAACCGCCTTCTCCAGCACTTCAAGGGGCAGGGTTGGAACAGGAGCTGCTGCCAGCGCTGGCGGCCACATCCCTCCATCCTGGGAATGCTCCCGCTCAGGGGGAGCATCCCAGCCCCGTCCTCACCCACCCCACACCCCGCTTTGGTTTGGACACGGCCCTCAGCCCCACGTCTGAAGCTCATCTCTTTGGGAAGGTGGGGAGGAAGAACAGCAGCGACAGCCCCAGGCCCACTCCTTACCCCTCCTTTTGGCTCTGGCCCATCGCACCGCAGGCAGGTAAGGAGACATCCCCCCCGCAGCAGACTCTTTTGGCCCTCTGAAACCTCGGCAGCACCACGGGAGGCCACCACAGGCTCTGCTCCTTGCAAATAAGCAGCCCCAGCTGTGCGAGGTTCATCTGAATGCCCCTTTTATTGAACGCTGTGAGAGTGCAGTGGTAACATTGAACAGAGTTAAGACTGCTGAGAACAAAAGCTGGAAGAGCAAGAAGTTAAAAAAAAAAAAAAAAAAAAGATTAGACCAGTTAAAACAGCATCAGTCACCCCAAAGCAGAGAAGCGGAGACACACGGGGGGTTTAATGTAGTGTTAAAGGTTAAACTGGAGCGCGTCTCCTCCACACGCCCAACGCCCAAAACATGTCACTGCTTAAGAGTCTGAGTGAGAAGGAGGTGCCTGTCAGGGGGCGCGCGGGGCGGCGGGGACAGGACCCACAGGGGTTAGAGGAGTCGATAACGCATCTACCGCTGCGCTCCCCACGCAGGGCCCGCGGCCAACATACCACACAGCTGCAGGGACAGAGCTCCTAGGCCAGTTCAGAAACATCTTCCATTTACTATTTGGTGATTACATGTGTGTATATATAGTTCTCTAGGCAACACATTTCAATGAGATAGTCAACTCTGAGGATACACAGGCCAATCTAACAATGAGAAATGCAGTTTCAGTCCAACAGAAGCTTGTTTTCCCTTTCCTCAAGAAAGGAGAAGTAACCCTCTCTCCCCTCAACAGCATTTTCGGGTCACACCAGGGTCCCCCGCCGCAGCTATTCTTCGTCAGAGGAAGAGTTCTGATCCAGGGGGTACACCATGAACATCACGTCTGGCCGCGACGGGACAGAGGGGTGACCAGGCCTCACGATTTCAAAGCCCAAGAAGCTGAATGTCTTCAGGAGCGGAGCTACCAAAGAGAAGGAAATCTGTTACCACCAGGAATCACCCTCTGTACCTGCATCATCCCAGAAGCCACAAATACCAAAGTGCACCAAACACCCTCCACGAGCACATCCAGAGCTTCCCATGCAGAAAGAGACCGCTTTAACACAACAGCCCTCTCCAGTAAGATGCCTGGTCCCTTTCTGCATTCCTCTCAGCTGCTCCTCAGCACAAGGTGGGCTGCAGTTGCGCAGAAAAGCAGCTTCATCCACGTTTAACCTGTAATGTCTGTTCCATCCCTTCTGGAACAGCGACAGGGGGGTATCTACCTGCACCACCCGTGCCCCTGGGACGCCCATGGCCATCCCGCAGCATCTCACAGTTTTTTCACTTCAGTGGGTCCCAGCACCCCTTGAGCCCTGAAAGAGGGCGAGACAGCAGCGAACAGGAACCCACTGACTCGGGGTGTAGGTAGGAACTCGCTGTTTCCATGAGGAGGGCCTGGAGCTCAGTGGAAACCCAAGGGAGCTGGGCACAGCTGGGTGCAGTCCCCAGGACAGCCGCCACGGGTGACACATGGCAATTCCCAGCAGGGTCAGTCCAGAGCCCACACACAGCCCTTGTCTCAGGCAGGCAGGGGTGTGCTACGCAGCGACGGGACGCACAGAGCCATCCCTCCCCTGCGGCCTGTGGAAGTTACCCTGGAGCAGCACCTGATCCCCACAGCTCTCTCTGACGATCAGCTTCCACCCAGAGCGCTCACGCGGAGCGGCTCCTGCGCATTTGTAAGACAGCACTGAATTTCAGCTGCACAGCCAAAGACCCGGGGTGTGGAATGCTCCAGAACTCATACACACAACCCAGGTCCAAGGGCAACACATGGCCCGTTTTTAAAATCAAACCCAGTATCAGATGTTTCCTGTAACCAGCCACTGCGGGGGTCACCTTCCTGACCCGTGGTGGCGGTGACATCACAGCAAGGACTTAATCTGAGAATTAGTCTTGGCATCATAACGCAGAGTGACATCTTCCCAGGCTCAGCACAGCTTAGCTCTAATAACGTGCTTCATGTCAGAGAAGACAGTGCGGCTTGTGAGGCAGCAGAGTAAAATTAGAATTAAGGTTTGAGTTACCCCTGCTGTGGCAATTGCTTGGTTACTGGCCTGCGTCTGGTAGATTTAAAGCAACACATCCATAGCCTGGTACTTCACCACAGATCTCCTCAAACCTCCATGCTGTAATCACCCATCCAACACATCTATCTTTAGATCCTAACGCAGCCAGCCCCCTTAAGCTGTAAGCATCTATAGCTGGGGTGAGGATTACCTGTAGGTCTAGGAAGGGCAAAAGTGCTGGGAGATCTTTAAAAAGCAGATGAACATAAGGACAACAAGCTACAAGAGCTCTTTTCCCACGTAATAACCTCCCCTTGGTTTCTCCTTGCAAATTGCAGAAGCCTGGTGCCAAAAGAAGACCTTCACTCATTACCAAAGGAGAAATATTAACCAGTTTCTGGACAAAAAAAATATTCCAAGTTCCTCAGGAGCAGCTTTCTGTGTGAGAGTCCTAGTAATACTGTGACTGCAGGATAGCAAAGCAACCCACTGGAGAACCAGAGTATTCCCTCTGCTTATTTCCTCCATGAGAAACTATTTCTACTTTGTAAGAACAACATGCGAATTCAGCGTGTAACATCTCCTGCGGTGGGAGGTCCCGTGGAGCCCTGCCTGGGGACAACCAGATTTCAGTCCAGCTCCAGCAGCACCAGTTTAGATCTGGGGAGCAAACCCGACAGCGGGGGCGAGTTCTCACCTCTATCTTCTCTGCTTTTTCTGAAGCAAATAAAGACATAGTTTACTTTCATTTTTTCTTCAGCAAATTCCAACAGTGCTGATAACCTGCCAAGGAGGAAGAAGACAATAGAACATCAGCTTTAGGAAGTCCTGTCCTGAGGAAGCCTCCAAGCATTATCAACTGTTTTGATGTTTTTCAGGCAGAAAGATGACTTGTTTACAGACCCCTTCCAGCGAACAATGGGCGCTGAAACAATGGGCTTCCTCCTGTGCTACCCAGTCCTGCTAAACTGGGAGCCATCCTCACAGCCCATCACCCCACAAGTCCCTGTCCTCGGCACCTGCGTGCCAGCGCGCACCAACACCCACCCCACCAGCCAGGACAGACTCTTCCTATGGGGGAAGCTGAACATCCCCAGCCCGGCTACGTCCCCTCCGCTGGCAACACACAGCAGGGGACCTGAAAGTTCTGCGCTTGGGGGGAAGAGAAAAAAAACCAACAACAACAGAAGCTCATGCCAGGCAGGAGAGAAGAGAAAAACATGACTGAAGGAGCATATGCAGAGGCAAAGCTGTTTCCTGAGCACATCAGCTGGATGGCACAGCTGACACACCCCCAATCCGGGCTCCCTGCCTTTCCAGCTGAATTATTTCTGCCACCTCCTGATGGAAGCCCTGATCAACCCCTGGCCGAGCCCCGGGGATGGCACGGCAGAGCCCTCGCTGTCACAGCAGCCATTTAGGATGCAGGCTGCCAGAGCAGGGACAAACAGGGCGTCGATCGACATCTAATTAAACAGCCGTCAGCGAGACAGGAGTGCAGCGAGGGAGGTTACATTTGCAAGTGTTTTGTTAATATGGTAATGAACTATTTTAATTATAGCCTCTACTAGGCTGTTTTACCTAGCTAAAAATAATCTTACCAAATTGTGCTTTAAGTCATGATGACACAGGCGGGTAAATACCCTCCTCCCAGGAGGAGCTGCTCCCAGGAGAGCGGGCGCTTGGGCAGCTACAGGATTTACAGCCCAACTGATTAAGTGACACAAACCTTTACGTGGACTCAGGAGTCAAATGAGACAAGTGTGAGACAGCAACAATACTGGCACTTACTGGAAGTGCACAGTGAGGGTTGTTTTTTTTTTTTCCTTAATTAGCTTGTGTCATTTACGGATGAAGCCTACTTGGAGATTTAGGAGGCCTTGAGAGCGCTCTGCAGAGGAATCCAGTTCACAGCCACATCTCGGCGGCAGCGCTCACCGCCACCGGAGATCTCTGGCAAAGCACTTGGCAGGAAGGAGCTGCTCTGGAAGCTGCGTTTACACAAACTTCCCAGAGCAGAGCTGTCTGGACAAAACACTCCCCTATTCTGCCAACAGAGAAAAATCAGAGACTCTGGCAGAGCCCAGCGCCTGCGTGGCAGCGCTCCAAGAGCAGATCCACCTACTGATGAGAAGGAGCGCATCAATATAATGGAGGTTTTTTTTCCCCTGAAAGAGAGGAAGACGCCTGCCAAAACAAGCTTGCCAAGTGGCTGGCAGAACAAAAATCAGAGAAAGGCTTGTAGATTTTCCATACCAAAGTATGCAAAGAATCACTCTGCTTATTTATTGCTTATTTTTCATTAGCGTGGGCACTCAAGAAAACAGTAACCCATCTGAAATGATCCCTACAGGGGAAGAAAATATATGGAGGACTAACAGGAGGACAGTTCTCTGGAGAACAGGGAGTAAGGACATACTCCAGATACAGAAACCAGGAGCAGAGCTGCCATACACACACAGCCTGTTCTCCCCACACAGGCAAAGCCCTGCTCCCTGCAGAGCCACAGACACACCTCCGGGATCCTGAACTTACCCTTCTTTGCTCCCATCAGCTAATAATCCATCAGGGATTTCCACGAAGAGGCTCTGATTAGAGAGCACAGCATCCCAGGAGGAGGTCTTCACCTCTGTAACCTTGTACTGGAAATGGACAATATGAGGCTTCCCTTCGTGCACTGGGACATCTTGGTTAACAGTGATCTTCTCGTCCTGTGAGGGAGGGAGGAGAGCTCAGGAAACTGGCTTTAGGGTTAAAGAAAACTATCTAGGAGATCGCAGACCAAAAATCTAAGAGATTGTGCTTCAACAAGTGTGCAGAGGGACTGTGTTTTCAATGGGACCAGTGTGTGTCCAGAGTTTCAGCCTATAATTAAAATTCACCACCATGAGACTCACCACAGCTCGTGAAGGTGAGCACCCTCACCTGCGAGCTCGTGTCTGAGTCTCAGTGCTCTAAATAAGCATGTGGTTAAGAGCTACTGTTCTGAACTATCCAAAATACCGTGCTTTTAGTCTATCCTAACACAAAAACAAGGAACAAAAAAGTGAACACTCCTCTGGCTGGTTATAACATAGAACTATAGAGATGCAAATGCAAAATAAATGGGATTACAGTTTTACTACGAAGAATGTTATACATTTCCCTTCCCCTTTCACCATCTCAGGGACGCACCACAACGAGCACTGACCTGGCAGTGATTTTTCTAGTCATGTCTCCCTGTTCAAGGAATGCAGTTTTGTGTATTTCCTTTATATTAAATTTCTGGGTAGTGAGAGTCCATTCATTCACTGCAGGTCCCAGCCACATCTTTGAAGGGAGGGTCATGAACTACCCTTCAAAGGGCAGAACTTGAACCGACAGGCTGGAAAAGCATCTGCTGCCACAGTCTGACCAATTTCATTGTCTCCCCAATCTCCAACACAGTCTTTTCGTTTGAGGGATAACCACAAATTGTTTTCCCAGATTTTACAACCAACTAGTCCGGCAAATGGTTTGCCTCCTGGTAAAGGGAGGGAAATACATAGAGCAGAGAGAATCCCAGACCAGACAGAAGCTACACGGATTTGAAGATTGTGATGAGGTCTTTTCCAGAGACCACAAATGTACACGTCCCTCTCCAACACTGCTCTAACCAGAATGCCAAGCTTGCAGCCCGCCTCCCATTCAGCTCAGCAGTTCCTAGAAAACAATTTCGTGGTTAAACTCCATCCCTCCTCCCGACAATTTTTGCAGGCAGTTGGCTTGCCCAGTAATGATTTCCACATTGCACTGCAAAGAGCCCCAGTGAAACACCAGAGAAATGCATTAGGTTCCTGAGTTAACGCTGTCAGGAGCGGCGGGAGCTGGAGCTGCTCCCATCTGCTCGATTCCAGGCTCATGCATGTGGACCCTCTCCCACTTACAAAGTCACCTGCACAACTCTGAAGGGCAGAAGGAAACAGACAACATTAGCCACGTCTGCTCTGTTTCCAAGTCACAGGAATGCCTGGGAAAGCCACCTGCCCCTCTCTCCTCAGCAGCATCAACACGTCGTGTGGGAGGGTTCACTCCATCGGGTCATGGCATGAGCGACCATCCAGCCTCCAGGCATTTTATTTTACCAGGGTGATTAATTCAGCAGCTCATGATGAACTCTCAGCTGGACTGACACTGAGGCAAGCAACATCGTTGCAGAGACAGCACCTCCCCAGACAAGGTCTAATAAATGCTTGTAGCAACATATACTCATCTCTGACCGTAGCACCCCCAGGCAGCCAGTACAGCAAAGAACAGCCCAGTTTGGGTCTGCAGTGAAGAAGCATTTACACGATGGGCAGCACAAACCCATCGGCAGCCAAATGCCCAGTGCGAGGGCGGGAGACTCCTCGGGATTGCTGCTTTCCAAGGAGGTGCTTTCTTGTGGGCATTTTAAGCTACTAAGGTAAAAGCATCACTGAAAGACCAGCAGTTCCACAAACACATCTCCGAGAACCTGAATATCTCTTCAAGCCTGTGTCCCACTGCTTTAATCCCTGTTACCATGTGTATTAAAACAGATCCCTCTTGGTTTGACTATTGTGACAAGCAAGAAACTATGGAGTATGTTAATGCTGGTGACCCCGTGCAAATCAGGAACTGCCTGGCTTCAGTAACCAGAGCAGAGGAAGCTGCCGTTTGTTTAAAGCCCACAAAGCTTAGCTGAAAAACAAGTTTGCACTTCATCAGAATAAATATCCTGTAGGAAATAAGTTAATTCATCAGGTTTGAAAGAAGTTTCTGTGGTCGCGCCTGCTGTGGGGTTTTACTGCAGCTCTAAGCCAAGTGCACTAGGAAACCCACCGACAGCTGCACAGGTAAAGGCAGGCTGCTGCTGATAAAGCTGCCACAGAGCCCACAGCAAGAGGCAGATTTGAGCCCAGCACTACAGAAGTGTACTTAAAACAAAACAAAACCAAGGGGATTATATGCACATCCTTCACCAGTGACTTCATATGAGCCTTTCACAGTTGTTGTTACTGGGCAGAAAGCATCTCAGTTTCAGAAAAAGATCCTTCTCTCAAGAAAAGCTCAAGATGTATAAGAAAAGAAGCATCTGTGAAAGCAAAACCAGGGTAAGGAAGCTGAGAAAAGCAGGCTGGGACTGACACGCTGGAGGGGGAGGCACACGAATGCGTTTGTGCGGGACGACTGGCAGGAGCCTGCAAGAGGAGGGGAACAGCTCTCCCCCTCTCCTGGCTTAGCCCTTCTGCCACCAGAAGTTATGCCCTGCACTCCAAACCCAACGAGGTTTTTCCACTTAAGAGCACCCTGATGCGACAGCCCAGGAACCAAAGGCAGCATAAACACAGGGATTAAGAGAACCAGCTCCCCCGGTTCAGTGGGAATTACATTTACACAGCCTGTCTTGGGCAGCTGATATTTTATTTCTAGGCATCAAAATAGAGACAAGCGAGATGCCGGGGAGAGAAGCTGTTCCTGTGAAGCAGCAGCCCAGAACTCTTTGGAAGCTGCTCAAAGCAAAATCCTGTTTACGCAACAAATGTTCAGTTTTAGTTCACCCCTGCAAAATTTCCCCACCATGCTATTGCGGGGAAAAAACCCACACCAGGGTTATCTTTTACACACAGCTGCCTAAACCACCGGCTCCCCAGCCACGGGCTCCATTTCAGCAAAGCCACAAGGACCAGCTTCCACTTGGTTACAATTCATTGAGCACAAGATTTTCCAACCCAGCCGCACTCCTCAGATGTCCCGAGAAGGACAGGAGGAGGCCCCTACGTGCTGGCAGAGTCAGAAGAAAGGATGTTCTGGTCTTGGCCACGGCCAAGTGACTCGAGAAAGCCGCGTAAGCAGCCTGCTGCTGGCATGTGCTACACCTGCAGCCTCCTGCCAGCTCTGCCGGCCAGAGCACGTCCCGGCTGCGCAGAACTGACGCCCATCACTGCTGTGTTCCCAGCTCCAGTAAAGCTCCCTCAATGAAGGGCTGAGTATTAAGTCTCTTAATGCAAAAATCCCAACAGCTATAGGGAGCCCAGCTGCTTAACTCATGGCGCGGTTGTATCAGAGCAGGGCGCTACACGCTCCAGAGAGGGCAGGCTCATTCAGAAAGGTCATCCCTCCAACTAGAAGAGCTGATACAGCTGGAAAAAGTACTTAAGCTTTTGGGTCCAGATGCTGTTCCAGGTCACAGTGAAGCTTCCCGGCTGAAAAGCTCAGCCTGATGTAACGACAGCACTGCTAGATTGAGTGGGCAACAGAGAGTCCCAGTGACCCCTGTCTGAGGTTGGACTTTAAACCACCAGGCAACATGGCCCACTCTGCTCAGGGATGAACCACGTTACAGAAGGGTTTTCTGGCAGGTTCTGCTAGGTTTTGTCAGCAACAAACCCAGAAAGAATTATATCCGTATTTCTGGGATGCAGCTCTCTAGATGACATCCCCACAGGCAGCAGCCCCTGCCCACACCCCACTGCCAGCAGCTTCTGTGCCAATTGGAGGCCATGCTGAAACCAAATACTTCAAAACTTCCAAACGGTGATTCCTTCCACCAGCATCTGTCCCACCATTGAGAAAATGGTTGAGACCATTTTCTGCCTTGGACCTCACCTGGTGCATACATAAGGCTTGACAAAGCTGGTCTGCAGGAGTTTAAGTTGCAGGGCCCCCTCTTTCTCATCCCCTCCCACCCAGAGGGAATTCATTATTTGTCCTGACCCCTCTCAAAGCTATTTATATATCTTCTTTATCTGACAGGAGGCCCTGTTGTGTTCTTTGCTACCTCTCTGCTGCTTCTCGGGATTTCATACCCCTCTAACATTCAACTCAACAGCATTAAGCTGATGTTACGTTATTAAGAGGCTACATAGGTTGACATTTATTCACACGGGAAGTGGGCGAGGCACCTGCTAAAAATTCACCAAGGCTGCATTAAAGCAGCCTTTGAAAGCAGCCACAAGGTCTGTGATTCTCTCATAAATTTCAAGAGGAGACTTTGGTAGCTGTGACCCAAAAGGGCCTGTATCTTTTCATCATATAAAGTCTGTGTGCCACCCACAGGGTAATTAAAAAATCAAGTCTAACACCTATGACAACACTCCTGCCTGAACAGCCAAATTTGCAAGCTTAGCATAAATTTCGGCTACCTCATCTGATAGAGCTTTACTCCCTGGCTTGTGGAAAAGCCACCCCTGGCCCAGAAGGAAGACAGATGTGTGCCACCCCTGGCCCAACACAAAGCTGCACAAGTGCCAAATATTCTACAGCAAGGAACAGCCAGGTCTCCTCATCCAAAAGCCAAAAGGAAAGGTGCCGTAGATTGAAAAGGGCCAAAACCCAAGAGCTACAGGGATCCATGTGCTAGTAAGCAAGTCTGCAGATACAAGGCCTTCCTGATCTTGCCTCATCCTATGCACATGTTCTAGAAACGCTCCCATCCGAGGTGGACACCACCTCACCCTTTCATGGGATCAGGAGTTACTCCGTACATCAGCTCAGGCAGCTCCCAGGCCCTGGCAGCTTTACCTTCCAGAGCAGAGGAAGGAATGTACCATCCCGTCTCTTTCTGCATTTCACCTTTCTGCTTCCCACTTCCTCTTTGTGCAAGGCATTTGAGAAGTTGTATGTGGAGCCAGCATTATCAAACCATGAAACAATCACCCAAACAGACCTCTGGGAACAGGGCTAGTGAATGATTTGCTGCACACCTTTGGAAAAAAGGTCTCTCATTTCTTAATAAACAGGTGCTATTTAAGCAGGCGTGTGCTGCATGCAGCTCAGCAATCTGCTGACAGGCTCGCTGGAAAATTAACTGTTCTCCCGCTTATTATTTGCATTTATTCCCATCAGACAGCAAAAGGAACCAACCAGTTACAACACGGTTACAGCTCGTTATTTAGACGTCAGGTCTTTCTCACCTTATATATCAGAGCTGAAAGAGAAGGATCCCTGCTACCCCCTCGCCCACCGGGGATCTTCGACAGTGGGTGAGGGGCATCAGGAGCACCACAGAGGCCCTGGAACGATGTGCCTGCAGCACTGCAGCTGGGGACAGTTACTCAAAGGCAGAATACTACTGCAAGGAAAAAAAAAAAAAAAAAGAGAGAAGAACAGCAGGTTACTTCAGCAGTGATCACATTTCAGATGCTACACCTCCTCGTGACCCCAAACCACTCAACCAGTTACAACATGGTTACAGCTCGTTATTTAGACGTCAGGTCTTTCTCACCTTATATATCAGAGCTGAAAGAGAAGGATCCCTGCTACCCCCTCGCCCACCGGGGATCTTCGACAGTGGGTGAGGGGCATCAGGAGCACCACAGAGGCCCTGGAACGATGTGCCTGCAGCACTGCAGCTGGGGACAGTTACTCAAAGGCAGAATACTACTGCAAGGAAAAAAAAAAAAAAAAAGAGAGAAGAACAGCAGGTTACTTCAGCAGTGATCACATTTCAGATGCTACACCTCCTCGTGACCCCAAACCACTCGTATCCCTGCTCCTCTGCAGCGCCTCAGAGGTGGCTATCGGGGTTTTACCGTCCAGACATCTACACCAGAGACACTCGCTGCCCAACTGGTCTCAGAAACCGGAGGTGTTTTGTTGGAAATGGAGGAGGGGCTTTGCAGCCGGGAGCAGGGAGAGTGCTGAGCAACCTCATGCTAATAAGGGCCGCCTGGAAACCCGCCAATAGCAGATGGCTGGAAACGCATGACCAGATGAGCACACATTTTCTATAGACAAATATCTACAAATAGATCAACGGGACCCAGAAGGAGGAGGTTTAAGTTTCACGTTTTCAGAACGAGGAGGAGTGAAAGGACCAGTTCTTTAGATATTTTCAACATGCTCTACAACATTCGAGTTGACATTTCCACATGCAAATGAAACATCATACAAGCATTCTTCACCCCAACCCTAAAAATTACAGGTTCACCCCACAGATCTACTTTTACAAGGTAGAAAATAAGTTTCCCTTGCAGTTTTTAAGTTTGTTTGGATGCCCTACACGTGGTCTTCCAGGATCACTTTGAAGGCAGGCTTTAACATCTGCCCTAGCTTCTAGAAAGTTCGTGAAAGCAAATTATTTTACTTCTGGAGCACTGCTCCCTTTATCAGTACCACAAAAGCTCTTTGCTAAGGCACAGCACCACAGTGGTATATTCCTCTAACAAAGCCTGCAAAAGCAATGTAGAGAAACCAGTCATTTCCCAGTGTTCCCATTATGAAACACACCAGTGCAAAGCTATGTAAACATCACCAAAAAAGAAGAGAATTTGAGAGTTTTCAATAAGCGCACAGAGCGAGGAGCAAGGCTAGAGGGGACAGCCTCTGTAGATGTACTGACAACTTACTGTCTTGGCCTAGAACTTCTCACTCGAGCCGATCCCAAGACAGTATTTTTCTACTCTAATCCCCCTCCACGAGGGAACTGGCTTAAGTATCCAAAGATCAAGCACCGAGCTGCGCCGTCAGAATCACCCAAACCGCCTCTACAGTACGCTGGAACGTACACCAGACTGCAAACAAACTACAGAAATTTGGCATTTCTGTTTGCCAAAAAACAACTCGCAAATGCAATGACGACACAGGCAGAATTTGCGAAGAACTTGGCTTGCCACCTCATACCAAAATAATCTTTCTACAGGAAACACAAATATTCTTCCTCCACATATTTCCTCCTCCTCCGGGATCGCTAGACTGGGCTCTTCAGCAGCGCTCCCGTGTGCCACAGGCTGTTTAAACATTCTAGAGAAAGCTACTAAGCAGTTGTAGGGAAGATGTCTCAGGGCAGAGCCCTTCGCACACACGCTCAGTGGCGTTCTGTGTTAATACAGTCCCTCCTCACGGCATGGCTGGGGCTATCAATGGACCAGTGTGTATTCAGTAGTAGTGGATGCTGAGAGCATGACAAAGCACTTTGCTGTGCAGTTCCCCACCCCCAGAAAGCTGTTGGCAGCTTTGTTATTCCCTTCCCTCCTCCCCTCTCCCCCCAGTCAACAATGTACTATTGATAGCTCTCTCCAACTTGTGGCCAAGGCATCAAGAAGCTGGATAATGAAGTGTAGTTGTGGGAAAAAAAAAAAAAAAAGAAAAAAGAGCAAGGCTGTAGTTTCCATGCAAAGCAGTTCAAGTCACTTCCCAGTTTTGCTTCCTCTGGCACATGCAGAAGTCAAAACACAAGACCCCTTCAGCCGCTGAGCCCTGCCTGCGGCACCAGGGCTTCCCGTAGCCCAGACCTGCACGAAGCCACCATCCTGCCCCAAAACTCCCCAGCAGCAGCCAGTCTGGGTCCCCGCACAGGGCAGCGCCATCGGGCCACGCTGGGGAGCACTGGAGATTATAAAGGGGGGGTCCTTCCTCCAGAGGCGCGTTAGCACCCCAGAAAGAAGTTCATACAAGTGCCTGAAAAACTCTGATCCCTTCACATGCCCATGTGTGAGCAGCCTGCTGTGGCTCTGCTCCCCAAAGCCTATTCATCGCTTAAAAATTAGGATTGTGCTCCCTTCCAGCCTCTCTTCTCTTGTGAGAAGCTGGTGTAGATGAAGATGCATTTAGCTCACCGAGGGCCTTTCCCTGAAGAAACTCCCTTCTTGACCGAGCCCTGCCTGAAATGGGAGCTGGAAGCAAGAGTACGTTTTCAGGCGGAGGGTGTAATTTTAACTCGCTAAGCTTCCAGCCATCTCAACCCCGTGCCCTGTCCCTGGGAAGCGCAAAGGACAACTCGGCAGCTCTCGCACCCCGTCACGGCTGCTCCGCCACAGCCCTCGCACCTCGGGCCCCCGCATCGCTCCCGCCACAACAACAGACAGCACCTAGGCCTCCAAAAGCTGCCCGTCTTGTTTTTGGGGATTTTATTTATGCTGAACACTTAGACCCGACGGAAGGATCCACACATCCCCTTGAGGTTACAGAACTGAAGGGTTTTCTTGGGTTTTTTTTAATTCTTTTTTGCCCCTTTTCAAAACAGGCTCTTAAGATGCGGTTGGACTTAGGCCATAATCAGATAATATGCTGTCAGCCACTGCAAGTCATATATTAAGGAACCCGATTTAAGGAGCAACTTGTAAATAACCATCTGATGAATAAAGCATAGCTCACATATCTACCCTACACACAGCAGCCAAGAAAAAAAAGCTCGGTTTATACACATCCCCCGGTCACTTATCTACACAGTACGATAGGGGCTCAGGAAATGACACTTTTCAGACTCTAAACAAGGAACAGACACGAGATAATCTAGCCAGCTGAGAAAAATACCCACAAACCATGTAAATTCACGCCTGTCAATAACCAGCCTGCCAAGAAAAAAAAAAAAATCACCTTTGCGTGGGGATGTGCGGGGGCTGCAGGAGGGAGGGCACAACCCCCCCGGGCGTTACGGGCTTACGAGGCAGAGGGTGCTCAGACCCCCGCTGCTGAGGTGACCCCGCCCCGGCCCATCCTAACCCGCTCCAGCCCCCGGCCCCAGCCCACACCGGCCCCGCTGCACCCACACACCCGCACGGGGGCTTCTCATCCCCCCGGGAAGGTAGGCCCCGACAGGGATTTATCCCGGGAGAGGCGCAGAGCCCGCACTTCCACCCTCGCCTCAGCGCCCGCCCGGCCCCCAGGCCCTGCCGCCGCCGCTCTGAGGGGCCGCGGCAGGCCGCGGAGCGGGCCCGGCGGTGCGGGGCAGCGCGATGCCCGGCCTCCCCGCACCTGTCCTGGGTGTTTATCATCCTCGGCTCGGTCC